TCCATACACTTTATAATCGATTGCTTTTTTATCACTGGCAGTCGGTTTCATGCTCAGAAACGTAAGTTATACATTATTCAATTATACTATTCTTAATGCATATTTATTAAGTATCTGTCTTTATCTATCAATTTATTTCCGTGAAAAAGTTAATGTTCACCATAAAGAATTTATAGTAGTCTTACTGTACTTATTTTCATATTGAAATTGATCATCATTAGGCCTATAAACCACAGTATGATAGACTATTATCCGAACCCGGGGAAAAATAGCAAATAGTTATTAAAGCAGTGCTTCCCAAAAAACTGTGGGTCGCGACCTCAAAATTGGCTGCCAATATTTGTCATTGGGTCGCGGAAACGTCTCTGTACATATAACTATATTCACGTTAGTTCTGTCACTGGAGAAAAAAATCCTTGATGAATGTGTATTTTAAAAAGTGAAAAGGGGGACTGATTACAAATACAGGTCTTCATCTAATTAAAGACCCCTCCCAATTAAAGACCAAGTCCAATGACAGACTACTTTTTTGTGGTCCCATATTAACAGAAGAATGTATTTTATCTTTTTCATTCTAATTAGAGGCTAAAGCTGCTAAAGGCCATGGAAACCAGAAACCCAGAAGTGGTATTTAATTGGAGGACCTGTATTAGATCTGTCTCTTATTCACATCTAGATGTGTATAAGAGACAGATATATATGTAAATATAAAGTACCGTAAGTGTAAAACAGCTAATAATAAAACAATCATTTCAAACACATAGGAAAGAACAATACTATTATGATAGAAAAAAGTACGGTATTATGACATAAATGAAAGATCGCATAGTTTACTCTGTTATAATATATTATTTGTGATAAAACCTAAAAACAACACCCTAAAATTCAGTTTCAGTATTGAATTGCTTAAAAAAAACATCTAGTAAATTATCAGTTTCAATGATCGAAACAAAATTAATTATTCAGTTTCCTATTATGGCTATCATTCAATAGACCTTTCCCCAGCGGGCCAATCGAATTGAACATCTGACCAATCAGAAAATGGCCAAGAATACGCGTTTGTCCCAAAAATGCACGTGTTTATGTACGCTTAATGCTGTCGATTTGTAGGACCTTAGTTAGTGGTGGGGTCCATTATTTAAAGTGCACAGAATAGGAGTGTTTTATGAGTTTATTATCATTATTGGCGTCTTACTTTCTATTAAAGCTAATAACTATACTTTAATTTACAAAATAAGCAATTCCAATATTAAATAAGCCAATGTGTGGTTTGAACTGCGCATGCCTGTATCAAAGGTCAATTGAAATAAACCTATGTTGTGTGTATATTGATACGGGCATGCGCAGTTCAAACTACGAATTGGCTTATTAAACAATACAAATACAATTTTCAGCCTCTGGATAAGGTATCATGCATTAAAACACATTTAATTATTACAGTAGCGCCAAAAATTAGAGTTACTCCATCCCTCCTCTCAAATTTCTTTATAGTTATACATTCCTATAGTTACAAACAACAGCAGAAAATATACCTATGTATTAAAACTTTCATAAATAGAACTTTTGACACTAGTTTCAGCCTCAATAAATAAAAGTGTGTTTTTACAAAATTTCGTTCTAATTATTTACCGTGCAACTGTGGGCCTTTGGATATTTTTTTTTTCATTTTTACAGAAGCAGAAAGAATGTGTAGAGGTATAATTCTGAATATGAATACGCAATGGGTAATTCGAACATATTTATGCACTTCGTTTCCATGTCAATCCTTCATTGTCTATTAAAGTATTCCAATATCTAACTTCTTGATAAAAAAATATCTTTACAATATATTTTTTCTATCAATAGTTTCACCAACAAATCTTTATGAATAAGGTAAAAGTAGTATTTTTTTAACCTCGCCAGTATATTTCCACCAGGTACCCAATTATACTCCTGGGTGAAGTGAGGCAAACGTAGGCAAAGTGCCTTGTCAAGGCACACAAGCAAAATGCACACCTACCCGCAACCGCTGCACCAAACGCCCCCCACCCCCACCATTCTTTATAAACAGATAGTTTTAAAAGTATTAAGAACAATGTGTAAATGTGCTAAATAATATTACAATGAGTGGCCTCTCAAACTCATACTAAATGTAATTTTGTGTTTACAGATGTGAACAGTATGGAGCTTTCGATTATTGTAGCAGTCATTTGCACATGTGACGACGTTGATTCTAGGATGTTGTTTGGTCAGAATCCACGTTGTGCAGAGAACGCAGAAGGTTCACGAATGAGTGAATCCGTTCTATGTTCACATCGTTGCGCAAATCGAATCGAAAGCTCCGTACAGCTGTCGCTCCACAAGCAAGCGACCGTGATTTAGTTTCCAGACCAGCTCCCACTCACAGGATTTCAAAATTTGAAGGATGAATTCTGAACGAGGTGCTTTAATTAGAACATAAACATAAAGTCGTCCATCAAACTGCATTCAATTAGTCATCTTTGATCATCTTCCGCAGACAGCATGCAAGACACATTGGAATAAGCTGAGAGAAAAAAAAAAAAAAAATACTGAGACAATTAGGAACCGGCACACGATTATAAAAAATTTAAAAAAAACCCCAAAAAACAGGTGACTACGTATCATCAGATGATTGGGCCTATATGGATTTATTACAAAGTAGGCCTACTAACACACATTTAATAATTCATTATAACGTGTTCGTATCATGTGTCCTGATCGCGCGATGGGCATTTTGGTATTGGTAGTGGATGTAAACTTGTATAGCGTATAATTGGCCTAGTCTTTATGCGCTTTGAACAAAATGTCCAAAAAGAATGAAAGTGAAAGATACGGAAAGTAGAAGTGACAAATGAAGAAAGAAACAACAAAAACATGAACAATACCACAATTGGGTGGATAAGAAGAGAGAGAGAGAGAGAGAGATTAAAGCTTAAATTTAAACAAGGGAGTTTTCTGAAGCAAATTCGCGATATTCCCGTATATCCATCTGATGGGAAGACAGTTCAAGAGTTTTTGAGCAGCAGCCATCTTAATTACAATAATGATACACCGAATATTATTTGTCAACGCATGCCAATATTGCGCATGTTTGTATCATGTTAAGCGGTGAATCCCGGAATTCTGAATAGAAGAGGGAGGGAGGGCATGGAAGGAACTTTTACAGATGAATGTTCCACACCACCAAACAAATTTGGCGGGAAGGGAGAGGGGTGAACCCCGCTGGATCGGCTCTTCATTCTCATCATTTCGTTAAAACCTGATGTCGGTCGCGCTCAAAATGATACATTGCATACCTCAAAGACAAGCAGACCAAGTGATAAACCGCCAAGAATCAATAAATTCTTCTTCCCCCAATCGTCAACAGCTTCAACGCAGCCCTGAGAGAGAGAAAAAACAGACAAGGTATTGATATATAAATACGTGTGTCTCGACAATAATTTATCTCATACATCAACATCATCATCACCAGCAGCAGCAGCAGCAATTCCCCCAACTATTGTTAGACCTAATTACAAAACTACAAAATCACCAAAAAATCGTGCCAGAACTGAAAATAATTTTGATCATACCAAGTAAAGTGAAGCTATAGGTCGGTTGTTAATATACATGCCCTCTAGCCTCGGGGCCCTGGGTTCAAACCCTATCAAACGATAGTTTTTCTCACAACTTAAAACTCAGACTGATGCGATGAGTCGTCATAAGACTGTCTTGGAAGCAGTCGCGTCGTACAATATTAAACATGTTTAATATTTGAAATTGCCAGATTATTTTGATGTCTGTATGTGGCAACAGGCCTCATCATAGACGCCATATTGTAATTTTGTGACGATAAATATTTTTTCCATGATTAAACTTAAGAGGTAGGTGTATATTTTGATCTCCAAATATCTTACTAATAAATCAACAACTAATAAAATATCTCATAAAATAATAGTAATCGATAATTATATTGAATATATATGTTAGTAAAACAGCTTTTATGTGTGAATTTGGTAACAAATATTGTGCTTCAATCTTATGTTAATTTACACATGTACTTTTGTTTGCAGGTTTTTGGTGGTTGCACACAATCCAGGTCATTGTCAGTTTAGAGATTGACGGTGTTGCATGTTTTCGTTTAGAGTTAAATGGAGATAAGGAGCTTACAAGCTATTACATATTTACGATGACCTTCTACACCAACCCAGGGAACAGAAAAAGACCTCAAATACCAAAAGAGGGTGCATGTCATCGGATGACATCGGCCGATGACGAAATGATCTGGGATTAGGTCATTTACCTGATGAAGATACTATTTCGAAACCGGTTTAAATACTGTAGTATTTAAACAAGTTTAAATATTTAAAAGCATATTGTTGATAAAGCATTTATTTAAATATTGAAAAGCATATTGTGGATAAAGCATTTATTTAAAAAATGAAAAGCATATTGTAGATAAAGCATTATTTTATTTAAAGATTTCAAAACTGAGAAGCACGATATGCGTAAATTATTTTTTTTCTGTGAGTCATGTTCTTCATTTAGCCACTTTTAAAAAACAGTTTTAAATATTGAGAAAATATTAAAAAGTTTTCAATATTTTTTTGTTAAAACAAATTTAAATACTGTGAAGGCTATTGTGGTTAACAATAAAACAAGATCGACTACTAACATGTCTATTAGTATATTATTATGTTGTTTTGTAGCATTGTAAACACAATTTTTTAAACCTATTGTTATAAGTCACCAAATCATACATTTCTAACAACCTTAATACTAAAACTAAAAATCAGTACACCTTTTTATGTACTGAAGCATCTATTAGTATTTGAATTAATTGCAATAATCATGTTTCTGTCACAAATACAATTGAAATTTAAACTTTACCTTCTCATACACCGTTTCAGCTAATGGAATGCAATTTTCGACTTTACAGCAGGAAGTAGGTATTGCTTTAAAATCCAACAACCATTGTGTGTACGATAGGGCTCCACAACATTCAAACTTTAAAACAAATATAAATTTGTATATACAAAAAATGGGTAATAAAATGAACGAGAATTGAGAGCAAATGATAAAAAATAGTGCTGGAAAGATGTGTAGATAAGAGAACTTTACCCTATCTTGTACATACAT